CTGGAATATGTTCCGGGATTCTTCCGATAGCATTGAGGAGTACACCACATCAGTCACTGGCTTCATCAATAAGTGCATCGATGACGTCATCCCCACAGTGACCGTACGTACATACCCCAACCAGAAGCCATGGATTACAGTCAACATCCGCACTGAGCTAAAGGGTAGAGCTGCCGCTTTCAAGGAGCGGGACTCTAACCCGGACGCTTATAAGAAATCCCGCTATTCCCTCCGACGAACCATCAAACAGGCGAAGAGTCAGTACAGGACTAAGATTGAATCGTCCTACACCGGCTCTGACACTCGCCGGATGTGGCAGGGCTTGAAAACCATTACAGACTACAAAGGGAAGCACAGCCGCGAGCTGCCCAGTGACACAAGCCTACCAGACGAGCTAAATCACTTCTATGGTCGCTTCGAGGCAAGCAACACTGAAGCATGCATGAGAGCATTAGCTGTTCCGGATGACTATTTGATCACTCTCTCCGTAGCCGATGTGAGTAAGACTTTTAAGCAGGTCAACATTCACAAGGCCAAAGGGCCAGACGGATTACCAGGACGTTTACTCCGAGCATACGCTGACCAACTGGCAAGTGCCTTCACTGACATTTTCAACATGTCCCTGACTGAGTCTGTAATACCAACATGTTTATTATTATTATTATTATGTTTCAAGCAGATCACCATAGTCCCTGTGCCCAAGAACACTAAGGTAACCTGCCTAAATGACTACAGACCCGTAGCACTCACGTCTGTAGCCATGAAGTGCTTTGAAAGGCTGGTCATGGCTCACATCAACAACATCATCCCAGGTATTAGGATTACTTTATCCTATCCCAGGTATTCCTTAAAGAGGTGGGGTTTCAAATGTCTCCGGAAGGTGGTGAGTGACTCCGCTGTCCTGGCGTCGTGAGGGAGCTTGTTCCACCATTGGGGTGCCAGAGCAGCGAACAGTTTTGACTGGGCTGCGTGGGAACTGTGCTTCCGCAGAGGTAGGGGAGCCAGCAGGCCAGAGGTGGATGAACGCAATGCCCTCGTTTCGGTGTAGGGACTGATCAGAGCCTGAAGGTACGGAGGTGCCGTTCCCCTCACAGCTCCGTAGGCAAGCACCATGGTCTTGTAGCAGATGCAAGCTTCAACTGGAAGCCAGTGGAGTGTGCGGAGGAGCGGGGTGACGTGAGAGAACTTGGGAAGTTTGAACACCAGACGGGCTGCGGCATTCTGTATGAGTTGTAGGGGTTTAATGGCACAGGCAGGGAGCCCAGCCAACAGCGAGTTGCAGTAATCCAGACGGGAGATGACAAGTGCCTGGATTAGGACCTGTGCCGCTTCCTGTGTAAGGCAGGGTCGTACTCTCCGAATGTTGTAGAGCATGAACCTACAGGATCGGGTCACCGCCTTGATGTTAGAGGAGAACGACAGGGTGTTGTCGAGGGTCACGCCAAGGCTCTTCGCACTCTGGGAGGAGGACACAACGGAGTTGTCAACCGTGATGGCGAGATCATGGAACGGGCAGTCCTTCCCCGGGAGGAAGAGCAGCTCCGTCTTGCCAAGGTTCAGCTTGAGGTGGTGATCCGTCATCCATACTGATATGTCTGCCAGACATGCAGAGATGCGATTCGCCACCTGGTTATCAGAAGGGGGAAAGGAGAAGATTAGTTGTGTGTCGTCTGTGTAGCAATGATAGGAGAGGCCATGTGAGGATATGACAGAGCCAAGTGACTTGGTGTATAGCGAGAATAGGAGACGGCCTAGAACTGAGCCCTGGGGGACACCAGTGGTGAGAGCATGTGGTGCGGAGACAGCTTCTCACCACGCCACTTGGTAGGAGCGACCGGTCAGGTAGAACGCAATCCAAGAGTGAGCCGTGCCGGAGATGCCCAGCTCGGAGAGGGTGGAGAGGAGGATCTGATGGTTCACAGTATCAAAGGCAGCAGACCGGTCTAGAAGGACAAGAGCAAAGGAGAGAGTGCGGAGAGCCTCCGTGACACAGAGAAGAGCAGTCTCAGTTGAATGACCAGTCTTAAAACCTGACTGGTTTGGATCAAGAAGGTCATTCTGAGAGAGATAGCAAGAGAGTTGGCTAAAGATGGCACGCTCAAGAGTTTTGGAGAGAAAAGAAAGAAGGGATACTGGTCTGTAGTTGTTGACATCAGAGGGATCGAGTGTTGGTTTTTTGAGAAGGGGTGCAACGCTCGCTCTCTTGAAGACGGAAGGGACATAGCCAGCGGTCAAGGATGAGTTGATCAGCGAGGTGAGGTAAGGGAGAAGGTCACCAGAGATGGTCTGGAGAAGAGAGGAGGGGATAGGGTCAAGTGGGCAGGTTGTTGGGCATTTAAGAAGCCTATTCATTGGCTACAGCTCAGTGTTCAACACCATAGAGCCCTCAAAGCTCATCACTAAGCTAAGGACCCTGGGACTAAACACCTCCCTCTGCAACTGGATCCTGTACTTCCTGACGGGCGGCCCCCAGGTGGTAAGGGTTGGTAACAACACATCTGCCACGCTGATCCTCAACACGGCGTGCTCAGTCCCCTCCTGTACTCCCTGTTCACCCATAACTGCATGGCCAGGCATGACTCCAACACCATCATTAAGTTTGCTGACGACACAACAGTGGTAGGCCTGATCACCGACAACGATGAGACAGCCTATATGGAGGAGGTCAGAGACCTGGCCGTGTGGTGCCAGAATAACAACCTCTCCCTCAACGTGATCAAGACAAAGGAGATGATTGTGGACTACATGAAAAAAAGAGGACTGAGCACGCCCCCTTTCTCATCGACGGGTCTATAGTGGAACAGGTTGAGAGCTTCAAGTTCCTTGGTGTCCACATCACCAACTATCATGGTCCAAACATACCAAGACAGTCGTGAAGAGGGCACGACAAAGCCTATTCCCCGTCAGGATACTGAAAAGATTTGGCATGGGTCCTCAGATCCTCAAAAAGTTATACAGCTGCACCATCGAGAGCATCCTGACTGGTTGCATCACTGCCTGGTATGGCAACTGCTCGGCCTCCGACCGCAAGGCACTACAGAGGGTAGTGCGTAAGGCCCAGAACATCACTGGGGCCAGCTTCCTGCCATCCAGGACCTCTATACCAGGCGGTGTCAGAGGAAGGCCACCTTAGACATTGACTGTTCTCTCTGCTACCGCATGGCAAGCGGTACCGGAGCGCCAAGTCTAGGTCCAAAAGGCTTCTTAACAGCTTCTACCCCCAAGCCATAAGACTCCTGAACAGCTAATGAAATGGCTACCCAGACTATCTGCATTGTTGGTTAAGGGCTTGTAAGTAAGCATTTCACTGTAAGGTCTACACCTGTTGTATTAGGCGCATGTGACAAAAAACATTTGATTTGATTTGATATGATGGTTATTATATCAATATTTGCGCATAAAGGTGTTTCCACTGCCATTTCCCACATAATACTTTTTACCCACACAAAAATATCCCACCAGATCGAACAAACAAATGATCTGTCTGCATTTATAAAATTGCACAAAAACTTTTCCATCACAGCTGTCGTGATTTTTGTTTTATACGATATGACTTTACAGGCACAAAAACTGTGGATGGAAATGTGGTTACTGATAAACAATAACAAGTCAGAAATGTTACACATCAGTCATACCCTGAAGTAGCTTGGTAGTAGAGGAGGTTAGTGGGAGGAGCTATAGGAAGACAGGCTCATTGTAATGGCTGGAATGGAATTAATGGTTTAATGGTTAATGTGGTTTCCATATGTTTGATGTGTTTGATACCGTTCCATTTATTCCATTCCAGCCATTACAATGCGTCTGTCCGCCTATATTTCCTCCCACCAGCCTCCTCTGCTTGGTAGATAATCAGCAGTAGAGTGCAACTCAAAAGTATCTCTGAAGTATCCTATTGGTTATGCTGTCCCTCGTGCCTCGTTGGACACGCCCATCCCCCCAAACTCCGCCTCATCGTCAATACCAAAACTCAGTGGAGAGAAAATATGACTTTGAAGGAAGGTGGGGGGGGTGGGAAATTCATTTCAAGAACACAAAGAAACTTTGAGCATGAATGCAAACATCAATTTAATGCTTTCAAAACCATTTTCAATACGTTTGAATTCTATATGTTTTCATACAATTCATTATCTTTTGTTTACATATATATATATATTTTTTTTTTTTTTACTTGCATTACTACAGTTTCGCTTTCAATAATGTTTTTAAATGTACGTTCTTTTTTATTTTGGGCCAATTCTTTTGAACTCAAATTGGCTCGATAAGAGAAAGTGAGGAAAAAATAATTGTTTCCACTCCTCGCATACTTTATGAACATTAGCGGGAATTAGCAGGAACGGTAATGTTGTGTATGACAATACCAGGGCAGGACAACAGATGTAGAAACAATAAGTAAAATTGCCTACAGATGTGGTAAGATACGAGCCACGGTCGACTCCTTTTGCATCTGTCTTGTCAACTTTTTTTCTTTGTCTTTATTTAAAGTCGCAAATGTATATCTCATGGCAACATTTTCATCTTTATGTCTGTTTTGGTTGGGACATTGGAAAATAAGGACCATAGAGAGAGAGAGAGTGAGAGAATAGCCTACCGAGGGAAGAATGTAAAGTCCAAATGTGAGCCGCAGCCATTCACGACGAACCACTGGTGTTGATGAAGAATAAACATGTTCTACCATCGAGGGGCAGTCTGTGCGCCTTCTTCGTTATAACGGTAAGCATTTTACGCATAACACATTTGTTTCTGTTAACGTTTCTTGTTTTTCAAAATATTTACTTAATCGCTGTGTGATATTGCATTGTTTTGATTGTCTTGAAGAACAAGTTATGAGCTGACACCATTATTTGACTTTTTTATTTTACTGTATGATATGCGCAGTTTGCGCGCATAACACCAGGCCTACTTGCATTACTTCATAGAATCGTTTCTATTACTAACACATTGGACATTTTGACGATACATATCCTCCGTTGAAAATAAATTATATGATCGTCATTAATGGTATGTCATTGTCCCTTGGTGACTTCACGTCACTGTGAGTGTGCACTGTGCGCAACTTCTCGTTTGTGCGCAGACAGTTCTTGATATCCAAGTCTGTTTTATGGTAAGTTGAGACAACAGACAAGAGTAAACTTATTGATTCTCTCGTTTATATTACACACACTTATACATTTACCTTCAGATTGTCTTAGGAAAAAAAGTGGAGGAACTGTTTGGAAATCACAGTCTCATATCCAGTGGCTCTTCTAACAGTGACCCACACCAACATCTGTGCTTCAGAGTGCACACACACAAGCACACAGCGCACACAAATCTGCAGTGTTATACTGCAGGGGTTATACACTGCCTGAGAGGTAATGCATTATGTTGGTATCAGTACTGAACCACTTCCTTATTTCGGTTGGAGGCTGAATGCCTCACCTGTGATCTCTGTTCTCTCAGCCAATAAACTGAACACGTGCCGCTTGACCAATAGAGCTTAGGAATATAAACAGTGTCTGTAGCCAAGGACTTTCCTAGGGCAGTGTGTGCGTGTGCATGCATGTGTGCACGCATGTGAGCAGGTTGTTATACTTGGACCAGGGCCTGAAAATACAGCTATTCTGTATTCATGCTGTACAGGCATTCATGCTGTACAGTCGTACATCAGAAGACTAGGGCATCAGTAAGCCCATGTAGACAATAGTCACAGATCTAGGATCAGCTCACCTCCCCCAATCCAACCTAACGTTAGATACAAACTGCCCTTAGATCAGTGTCTATCAGCAACAAGTCTTTGGGGTGTACAATATCCTGCCAGCTGCACAGCAGCTGAGCTATGTCTCACCACAGACTGCATCACTTCCTGCTTTGTCTGCGCCTGTTATCTTCTCCCACACCCACAACAGAGACGGCCTGGGTTACTTACTGTTAGTGTGTGTGTGTGTGTGTGTGTGTGCGTTTGTTTGCATGTGTGCATTCTTTTTTTGTAATCAACATTCTTAACGTGCAGGCTTTTCTGAAATGATTGAATGTTTGTGTGTGTCTCCCTCCAGGGTGTGTGTGTCTGGTTCACCGTCAGAGGGGAAGGATCAAAGGTCACAGCAGGTCGGGCGCCAGAGGTTAGGAGTCATGTCTGCCGTGGCGTTCCAGGACCTTCCTCTCAACATCTACATGGTCATCTTCGGGACCGGAGTCTTCGTCTTCGTCCTCAGCCTCATCTTCTGCTGCTACTTCATCAGGTAAACATATCCCTCCATCTATTTATCTATCTGTCTGTCTGTCTGCAAGTGTTGCACGGTATACCAAAACGTCCATATTTTTTTAAATACTAAAACGTGAAAAACGGTTCGGTACTAGAATGTTGGTTACTTTTGGTACTTGTGCCAAATGTGTCTGACGGATCAAGTCTGGCTATCAGCGCAGCAGATGTCCCCCACGGAGCACACGTGCCTGCTCCACATACTCATTAATAGTCTGCACTGGGAGTCTGGGCTGTTTCATGTTTAGCTCCCCACTCATGCTACACAGAAGTTAACACTGCGACATGGCATGTAGAAATGTTGAAACTGTTAATTACCGTTCGCAATACAATTTCCATACAGGCTAGAATAACTTTACAATGCAAGAAGATACCGGTAGCTTCCAGCTTTGTATGCTAACTTTCCTTGCAGCCCGTGAAACCCAGGATCCTTGGGACATCCCTACTCCATTGAAGTTGAAGTTAAAAAGGGTTAAGGTTAGGGTTAGGTAATAGGTTAGGATAAGGATTAAAGTTAGGGTTTAGGGTAGGGATGTCCCAAGGATCCAGGGTTGCACTGACCCTTTCCTTGCTAGCTTACAGCTGAAACTAACATAAATTCACTACCCTAGTACTTTTTTTGTGATAATATGCAAACCATACTGCAAAATATACTGATTCAAAGCAGATTGCCACTAAAAACTTTATTCATTCACTTAATCAGTCTCCCTCACGTCTCTCCCTCAGCAAACTGAGGCCGAAGGCTCTGGCAGGCCGCTTCTTGGCTTGTGAATGAGTCATTACTGGTTAAAGAGACAGCGCACACTTTTATAAAATAAGCCACTTTTATGCAAATGTTGTTGATCAGTACAATAAAATAAATGCCACATGGAAGGGAAACAGATTGTTTGTCATCAGTAGGCCCATGAAATCAGTCAAAATAAGCTCAATAACTCAATGCATGCGCAAACTCCTATTGAATATGCATTCACCTGTGGGTCATTCCATGTCATTTCAGCAAGCCATGACACGCATTATCTCTGGTGAATAACTTTTGCTCATGATGAAAATAAATTGTGTGGTCAATTGTGTGGTCAAGCCAGTTCTAAATGAAAGCAATTCAGTTTGTCCTTCTCTTAGCAACCTGGACACAAATTAAGCCTAAGAGAAGGACAAACTTAATTGCTTTCCAGCCATGCTTTCATAGCTGGAATTGTGAGGATGACCATACAATTTATTTTCATCATGAGCAAAAGCTATTGTTTTTCTACCCAAAGTTGCAAATAAAATGTTGTGATCCATTTAATAAACACAAGAGACCAGCAAAATGCATAAAAGGGTGTTTGGTGGCAGTAGAAGGAACAGCAGCATCTAGTGGGCAAAACGTGGTACTTTCACAAATTCACACTCATTTATGGTAAATAATGCAAGCGACATAAATGGCTAGTTTCTCTGAACAGGGGGGAAAAAACATCACCAGATTCACAGGAAATACATTACAGTACAAAGGATGAAGAAGCAATACTCCAAGCAGCAGCTGCATACTACTTGTCAGATATAGAGAACTGATACTGTATACTGGTTGTTGGTGTGGGATAGGCGTGGGGTGTGGGTGGCTTTTGATAATTTTATTGGATTCCTCATATTTGACTCATTGTTAGGAAGAATGCTGGTCCAAATCGAATGTTAGGTACTATATTTATGGAAGATTATATGAATCCAATAAATTAAAATGGCCAATTTGGGTGCAATCAATTAGCTTAATTTGTCAGACTAAAATGTAAATGTAAATGTCAGAGATCAAATTATATTGAAACAAAAATAATGTTTCAGGAATGATAATTGTATCAATTTCTAACTACAGAAACGATTTCAGAACAATATGAGATGGTGGGTGTCAAAATCCTCTTTCTTGTGCTTTTTGAGGTGGAATAGGCATTTACATTACATTTAAGTCATTTAGCAGACGCTCTTATCCAGAGCGACTTACAAATAGGCCTAGGGTACATCTTGATTTAGCCAGTTTATCAATAGAGATTTAACCATTCAAATAAATTATAATCATTATGTTGTTATGTAGTTAGATTGTTAAAGACAAAGTCAAATTAATTGCATGATTGTATAATTGGTAAATTAATGAATACATGGGGGTCTCCAAAAAATACTGACGTAAAACATTTCAAATGTAATGATATTGAACTCAAAACATGCCCAACGATTGAATAGAGCAGTAGCTGAGTTTATCCGTCTGGATGAAGTGCCATTCTGTGACTTTGGCTAATATGCCTTCTTCTTTTCTGTGGTATCATTTTGGTATCAAATCCATCCATCTGACAGGTGTGGCATATCAAGAAGCTGATTAAACAGCATGATCATTACACAGGTGCTCCTTGTGCTGGGGCCAAAAAAAGGCCACTCTAAAATGTGCAGTTTTGTCACACAACACAATGCCACACAATGTCCACCAGAGCTGTTGCCAGATAATTGAATGTTCAGTTCTCTACCATAAACCGCCTCCAACGTTGTTTTAGAGAATTGGGCAGTACGTCCAATTGGCCTCACAACCGCAGACCACGTGTAACCACGCCAGCCCAGGACCTCCACATCCGGCTTCTTCACCTGCGGAATCGTCTGAGACCAGCCACCCGGACAGCTAATGAAACTGTGGGTTTGCACAACCTAAGAATTTCTACACAAACTGTTAGAAACTGTCTCAGGGAAGCTCATCTGTGTGCTCGTCGTCCTCACCAGGGTCTTGACCTGACTGCAGTTCGGCGTTGTAACCGACTTCAGTGGGTAAATGCTAATTTTGGATGGCCATTGGCACGCTGGAGAAGTGTGCTCTTCATGGATGAATCCCAGTTTCAACTGTACCAGGCAGATGGCGTTGTGTGGGTGAGCGGTTTGCTGATGTCAACGTTGTGAACAGAGTGCCCCATGGTGGTGGTGGGGTTATGGTATGGGCAGGCATAAGCTACGGACAATGAACACAATTGCATTTTATTGATAACAATTTGAATGCACAGAGATACCGTGACGAGATCCTGAGGCCCATTGTCATGCCATTCATCCGCCGCCATCACCTCATGTTTCAGCATGATAACACACAGCCCCATGTCGCAAGGATCTGTACACAATTCCTGGAAGCTGAAAATGTCCCAGTTCTTCCATGGCCTGCATACTCATCAGACGTGCAACCCATTGAGCATGTTTGGGATGCTCTTGATCGACGTGTACGACAGCGTGTTCCAGTTCCCGCCAATATCCAGCAACTTTGCACAGCCATTGAAGAGGAGTGTGACAACATGCCACAGGCCACAATCAACAGCCTGATCAACTCTATGCGAAGGAGATGTGTCGCGCTGCATGAGGCAAATGGTGGTCACACCAGATACTGACTGGTTTTCTGATCCACGCCCCTACCTTTTTTTTAAAGGTATCTGTGACCAACAAATGCATATCTGTATTCCTGTATTGTTGTCATGGGGGACCATCTCCTCACCCGTCCCTCTGTTTCCTCTGTCCTGAAGTATTTCCCAACTAAAACAATCAGCTGCAGATGCTTATCAGCCTGGTTTGTCCCTGAGTCTATTTAAGGCCTCAGGCTGCAGCCCCATGGTTGGAAGGAAACTTAGTTTCTACTATTCTGAACCTCCCACACATAGGGCCCTATAAAATCCGAGATTCCAGACATTAAAACGGAATTCAAAAATGTATTGAACTTAGTAGGGAATCAACTAAATGTATTGAAAATGAATTAATTATCATAAGACAATGAACAGAATGTATCAGTTAAATTGTATTTCCTTCTGAAGAGGCAACGAGAATTGCACTGGTCTGTGAATGTGCGGTGCGCGTGTCTACCACTTTGTGTAGCCGTTAGCGATGATGCTAATGGAAAGTCTTCTGGTAGATGGTAATTTGCCTTAAGGCTTTCCCAAAAACCTTCTCAATCAAATATTAACTACAAAGTAGCCTATACTTACCTGATCTCTTGATTATTTGCATCAATCCAGTGGGTATTTGTTTTGCAAACTCTACCATCACAAAAAAACACACGCTAGACAACAGCCTCTTGCTAGTTGCACACTGGAATTAAAGGGTAACTACACCCAAAAATCTAAATTTCTCTGTTTTTCCCAGACCTCAAAAGTGGTCTCCTGGTGTGGTTTAAGCATTGTTGTGGACTTACAAAACAACTCAATTGGATGTTCTATTTTAAAAAGTGTGATTTTTAGAGTGGAATCCCCCAAAAAAACTGGAAATTGGAAACCTGAAATAACTAAATGGAAAAAACTGAATTTGGGAAAAAACTAAACGTAATCAGGCAAAAATTTAAACTGCTTTTATAGGGCCCCCTATGCGATTACACCAACACACACGCACATTTTAAGACACGAATAGAAGGAGGAATGTCTATTGTCGTCATCTGTGTTGTGACAAAGAGGATATACCACAGTGGTAACTGGAGACTGCTCTGGGGTCTGAAGAGTTATTGAGGCTTAATGAAGTGGGATTGTGTTCAGTGTGAACAACACAGCACTGTGTCCGGGGTATGACCCTCTTTGCTCCACAATGTGGTCCTTTCAAAGTGGCAGAGAAGAGAGGAAAGGCATTATGCCCATTGAAACTGAATATGCACAGCGGGCACGAGCCCCTTTACTAAGATTCATTTGTTCGATGAAAACGTGCTACTGTATATATGGTCATTTTTTCACAGAATTATTGAAAATAATTGAATTTGGCAATCAGTGCACTTCAAAACTAAAACTAAAAAATAACATTCTGACTAGGGCCAGCAGTTTCAGCTTATGTACCTCTAGGGTGATTACTCAGACAGGTTCATTTATGAATCCTGAGGGCAGTGGTCTAAGGGCACTGCATCGCAGTGCTAACTGTGGCCACTAGAGATCCTGGTCGAATCCAGGCTCTGTCCGCGCCGGCCGCGACCGGAAGACTCATGGCGGCGCACAATTGGCAGCGTCGTCCCGGGTAGGGGAGGGAATGGCCGGCATGATTAGCTCAGTTGGATAGAGCATGGCGTTTGCAACGCCAGGGTTGTGGGTTCGATTCCCAGCTCGGGGGCCATAATATAAAAAAATAACTCAATAAAACAATATATTATTCACTAACTGTCAATCGCTCTGAGATAAGAGCGTCTGCTAAATGATAAATGTGTAATGTAAAAATAATGAATCCCCTGTCTGCTGTCCCGTCCTCTCCTTGCCTGTCTTCTTACTCAGTTGGACTAAAAGTCTCTCCTCTCCCTATTAAACTGATGTACCGGCCAGCGCAGAGTTTTGATACTGAACTATCTTCTATAAGTCAGTCATGTTCAACACACTGCATGTATAACACAATTACTTCCTCATCATCAGATGTTTGCATACAAACTTAGGGTGCCTTCCAGGTCACCTTTTTTGCTGTCGTGCTGTGCATATAATCAGAAGCACAATGCCTGGAGAATTGTTGAAAATCTCTGGAATACATTACAGAAATATATTGTAACTGCAAAGACAGCCCCACATCAATCCTCACAGTGTCTCCGGCCCCCTAGTGTTGAGAGCAAAAACATTCCAATGACCTTTTAAACACCCCTTCATCTTGTGAATGGAAAACCTGTTTCATTCAATGTTTGTCTCACAATTCTAGCGGTAATCACTGATGCTTTTTCACAGGTGGTATTCAAAGGGGATACAAAGAAACTGAATCTACACGGGGTAAGTTTTTTATTTTCTTCTTTCCATTGTAAATCTGTTTAGTGCCGACTCTTTTTACACTCTCCAACCCCTCTCTCTCGCCCCTGGTTTCTATCTCTTTCTCTCTCGATTGCTCCCCCTCTCCTTCTCGCCATCACAGCAGACATGTGCAGTGTGCTTGGAGGACTTCAGAGTGAAAGATGAGCTAGGAGTGTTGCCATGCCAACATGCCTTTCACCGGAGGCAAGTGTCACCTCACGCCAAGCAGATAGAATTGATGTGTCAGATGTGTGTTGTGTGTCTGTGTGCACGTGTGTGTCTGTACATGCATATGTGTGTGTGCGTGCGTGTGTATCTGTAAGTGCATATCTGTGTGTGTGTGTGTGTGTGTGTATATGCGTGCATATACACTACCAGTCAAAGGTTTGGACACACCTACTCATTCAAGGGTTTTTCTTTATTTTTAAAAATGTTGTACATTGTAAAATAATAGTGAAGACATCAAAACTATGAAATAACACATATGGAATAATGTAGTAACCAAAAAAGTGTTAAACACTCTTGGCATTCTCTCAACCAGCTTCATGAGGTAGTCACCTGGAATACATTTCAATTAACAGGTGTGCCTTCTTAAAAGTTAATTTGTGGAATTTATTTCCTTCTTAATGTGTTTTAGTCAATCAGTTGTGTTGTGACAAGGTAGGGGGGTATACAGAAGATAGCCCTATTTGGTTAAAGACCAAGTCCATATTAAGGCAAAAACAGCTCAAATAAGCAAAAGAGAGCCGCAAAAACCATCAAGCGCTATGATGAAATTGGCTCTCATGAGGACTGCCACAGGAATGGAAGACCCAGAGTTACCTCTGCTGCAGAGGATAAGTTCATTAGAGTTACCAGCCTCAGAAACTGCAGCCCAAATAAATGCTTCACAGAGTTCAAGTAACAGACACATCTCAACATCAACTGTTCAGAGGGGACTGTGTAAATCAGACCTTCATGGTCGAATTGCTGCAAAGAAACCACTCCTAAAGGACACCAATAAGAAGAAGAAACCTGCTTGGGCCAAGAAACACGAGCAATGGACATTAGACCGGTAGAAATGTGTCCTTTGGTCTGGATTCCAAATTGGAGATTTTTGGTTCAAACTGCCGTGTCTTTGTGAGACGTGGTGTGGGTGAACAGATGATCTCCGCATGTGTGGTTCCCACTGTAAAGCATGGAGGAGGAGGTGTTATGGTGTGGAGGTGCTTTGCTGGTGACACTGTCTGTGATTTATTTAGAATTCAAGGCACACTTAACCAGCATGGCTACCACAGCATTCTGCAGCGATACGCCATCCCATCTGGTTTGGGCTTAGTGGGACTATAATTTGTTTTTCAACAGGACAATGACCCAACACACCTCCAGGCTGTGTAAAGGCTATTTTACCAAGACGGAGAGTGATGGAGTACTGCATCAGATGACCTGGCCTCCACAATCCCCCGACCTCAATCCAATTGAGATGGTTTGGGATGAGTCGGACGGCAGAGTGAAGGAAAAGCAGCCAACAAGTGCTCAGCATATGTGGGAACTCCTTCAAGACTGTTGGAAAAGCATTCCAGGTGAAGCTGGTTGAGAGAATTCCAAGAGTGTACAAAGCTGTCATCAAGGCAAAGGGTGGCTATTTGGATATATTTGGATTTGTTTAACACTTTTTTGGTTACTACATGATTCCATATGTGTTATTTCATAGTTTTGATGCCTTCACTATTATTCTACAATGTAGAAAAACCCTTGAATGAGTAGGTGTGTCCAACTTTTGACTGGTACTGTATGTGTTACTGAATTGTTGTTTGCCCCTGCAGTTGCCTGGTGAAGTGGCTGGAGGTGCGCTGTGTGTGTCCCATGTGCAACAAGCCCATCACTGGACCATCTGAACATCGCCACAGCCTGGGCACACTACTGGAAGAACTGGTGTAGCGCGTTGCTATGGCGATACAGTTGGAACGGACTGGTGTAACATGTCGCTATGACGATGCAGCTGGAACAGACTGGTGTAGCACGTTGCTATGACAACACAGCTGGAATAGACTGATGTAACATGTTGCTATGATGATATGACTGGAACAGGCTGGTTTAGGGGTCCCGGGACAGACTATACGTCTTTAAAGTGAATTAACGGGACAAACTGTTCTTAGGGTCCAGGGACAAAACCACATGTAACCATAACGATGGAGAACAAAGATTCAGATTTCAGACCCTCATGTATTGATAACAAGACGGTACACAGAGCATTATGGGTACTGTAGTATATCATACTGCACCTTATCAAGTGGAATCAGTCATTTAATGACTGGCTGCCCAAACCTCTACAGTGCTCACTCCACCAGTCTCAGGAATGAGGGCAGGAAGAAGGATTCACAAAGCCAAACTCTGGGACTAAAACTCCCCTCTCAACCCTCAGTCACTGACAGGAAGAGGGGCTACCTGTTGAGGGAGAACTTCAGATAACTCATGGGCCGCATTGCAGAACGCCCAGATACAAATATATGATGTAGAGTAAGGAATCGTGTCAGCTTTATTTGTGGTATTTCTATCTGCAACATCCAGTCTGTTGCACCCTGGGGATGATGACATACATTTATCATTATTGTGACATGTTTCCTGCTGACTACGCCGTGTGTGTGTGTGTGTGTGTGCATGCGCGTCTGCATCCTGCTTATATTAAGAGGGTGAGACACTCCCCTGTTATGACCTGTAGGAGGAACCGACAACAATGTGTTTATTCTGACCAGTATTTCCTATAGATTTGCCAAACGAGCCTTTGCAGTTTATTGTATTTAGAATGAAGAGCGATTCGGAACCATTCCTTTCTGCATGGTAAAGTGAACTGAAGCACTGCCCAATAGCTAAGTCGACATTCCCTACGTGTACAGCACAATGATTCTTCTACTGAAATGGAAATAATAATAGACAATATCTGCTTTTGTAAATATGAGAAAAAGTCTATGGGTCCTGTTTTGTTCTATGTCCTACCATGTTTGTAGTGTGTGAACGAACAGTCCTCTACTGTGTATGTATTGGCAGGAGCTAGAGAAGCCCCCTCTCACCTCTGGGTCTGCTCTGAGATACGACATGGGCCATGACCCAATACTTCAAACATTCCCCTTCCACACTCCCTTCTGCAAAGTAATCACTGACCTTACTGGATGGGTTTCTACCCATCACATAGCTTCCATCAATCCAGTCAGGTCAGAACTGTGAATATTTAGTAAAAGAGGTTGAAAGGGTGCATTTTTTAAGTATTGGAACAAGCCCATGGATTTTACAGTGCTGTTTCAGTAGCCATGTTTGTGTTCCTGTGAATGTGTCAGCGGTCACTTCTCAACACCATCCATCCCTTCATCACAGAGTGTTATTATGGACTGCCCTCATACTAACAGTTACACCAAGAAGCCTGGAAGGGGTCACTAGACTATAGTCAGTAGAGGGCCAGTCTATCTCCGCTTTTACCGTCCTTGACATGACAATCAAAGGAGTTGGCTGAAGCAGGCACCCAAATCACGTAGTGGCCAGGCTAGAGCAAACAAGTGACAATATCATCAGAACTGACAAACAAATCTGTGTGCCATTTGTTAGGGGTTAACCCTTTACACTCGTACCTGTATACCGGTTGAAAATGGCGTATTTGGACACTGATAAGCGCCTAAATTGGAACGCAGTGGCTGTACAGTAACTTGCTATATATGAAGTCAGAGCTCAGGGTCTCCACTTCACAGCACTGTATGGTCTTTGACTGACAGCCGTTCCGAACTTGAGCGCTGCGCTCAACAAGAAGTATAAATCTAAATCAAATTGTATTTGTCACATGCTTCGTAAACATTTACATTTGACATTTTAGTCATTTAGCAGACGCTCTTATCCAGAGCGACTTACAGTAGTGAGTGCATACATTCTCATACTTTTTTCATACAACAGCTGTAGGCTAACAGTGAAATGGTTACTTACGGGTTCCAACAATGCAGAGTTAAGATAAAGATCAAAAATACTATAAAAAATAGAAATAGTGGAATAAATACACAGTGAATAACGAATAATGAGTAAACGTAACATGGATTTATACAGGGAGTACCAGTACCGGGTCGATGTGCAGGGGTACAAGGTAATTGAAGTAGCTATGTACATATAAACTGAGTGTACAAAACATTAGGAATACCTGCTCTTTCCATGACATAGCCTGACCAGGTTAATCCAGGTGAAAGCTATGAGCCCTTCTTGATGTCACTTCAATCAGTGTAGATGAAGGGGAGGCGATAGCTTAAAGAAGGATTTTTAAGCCTTGAGACATGGATTGTGTATGTGTGCATTCAGAGGGTTAATGGGCAAGACAAACGATTTAAGTGGCTTTGAACGGGGTATGGTAGTACGTGCCAGGCACACCAGTTTGAGTGTGTCAAGAACTGCAACGCTGCTGAGTTTTTCACACTCAACAGTCTCCCATGTGTATCAAGAATGGTCCACCACCCAAAGGACATCCAGCCAACTTGACAACTGTATTTATTATGGATCCCCATTAGCTGCTGCCAAGGCAGCAGCTACACTTCCTGGGGTCCAGCAAAATTGAACTGTGGGAGGCATGCTTCGTCAAGGAACTTTGCTTTCGTCAAAGAATACTCCATTTGCAGCAATTATTGCCTTGCAGACCTTTAGCATTCTAGTTGTGAATTTCTTGAGGTAATCTGAAGAGATTTCACCCCATGCTTCCTGAAGCACCTCCCACAAGTTGGATTGGCTTGATGGGCACTTCTTATGTACCATACGGTCAAGCTGCTCCCACAACAGCTCAATAGGGTTGAGATCCGGTGACTGTGCTGGCAACTCCATTATAGACAGAATACCAGCTGACTGCTTCTTCCCTAAATAGTTATTGCATAGTTTGAAGCTGTGCTTTGGGTCATTGTCCTGTTGTTGGAGGAAATTGGCTCCAATCAAGCGCCGTCCACAGGGTATGGCATGGCGTTGCAAAATGGAGTGATAGCCTTCCTTCTTCAAGATCCCTTTTACCCTGTACAAATCTCCCACTTTACCACCACCAAAGCACCCCCAGACCATCACATTGCCTCCACCACGCTTGAATGATGACATCAAGCAATCCTCCAGCATCTTTTCATTTGGTCTGCGTCTCAAACATTTTATTATTTGTGTTCCGAACACCTCAAACTTTGATTTGTCTGTCCATAACACTTTTTTACAATCTTCCTCTGTCCAGTGTCTGTGTTCTTTTGATTCAGAGGAGAACTGGGTGAAAGTGTTGTGGTCAGATGAGACCAAAATGGAGCTCTTTGGCATCAACTCAACTCGCCGTGTTTGGAGGAGGAGGAATGCTGCCTATGACCCCAAGAACACCATCCCCACCGTCAAACATGGAGGTGGAAACATTATGCTTTGGGGGTGTTTTTCTGCTAAGGGGACAGGACAACTTCACCGCATCAAAGGGACGATGGACGGGGCCATGTACCGTCAAATCTTGGGTGAGAACCTCCTTCCCTCAGCCAGGGCATTGAAAATGGGTCGTGAATGGGTATTCCAGCATGACAATGACCCAAAACACACGGCCAAGGCAACAAAGGAGTGGCTCAAGAAGAAGCACATTAAGGTCCCGGAGTGGCCTAGCCAGTCTCCAGACCTTAATCCCATAGAAAATCTGTGGAGGAAGCTGAAGGTTCGAGTTGCCAAACGTCAGCCTCGAAACCTTAATGACTTGGAGAAATCCTTCCTGAGATGTGTGCAAACCTGGTGGCCAACTACAAGAAACGTCTGACCTCTGTGATTGCCAACAAGGGTTTTGCCACCAAGTACTAAGTCATTTTTTGCAGAGGGGTCAAATACTTATTTCCTCATGAAAATGCAAATCAATTTATAACATTTTTGACATGGGTTTTTCTGGATTATTTTGTTGTTATTCTTTCTCTCACTGTTCAAATAAACCTACCATTAAAATTACAGACTGATAATTTCTTTGTCAGTGGGCAAACGTACAAAATCAGCAGGGGATCAAATACTTTTTTCCCTCACTGTATAGTAGGCCTAGCCTATAGAAGGCTGATGGGATCCTCCTCTTTTTAATAGAAGCCATCACTGTTTTCTCACGCAACTGCATAGCCTATAGAAATGTTGCGCAACATGAGCTCATGTACTTTCATGAAGTGTTTGATTAGATTTTTGATCACATTTGCATTGATGTCAGAGTGATTAGAGGGACAATAGAGTGCTGAGTACCAGGCAGTTAGCAAGTTTGGTAGGCTACTAATGACCATCAGCAGCATCAGAGCTTGGAGAAGCCTAATTATGTGACTAAACGGTTATGTGGAATTTGACTGCCTTCATCACTCGTGACCGCCGGTGTGGCAGTAATATGGTCACCGTAACAGCCCTAGTTGGGGTATGTACGTACAGTCACTGTGGGGACGACGTCGTCGATGCACTTATTAATGAAGCCGGTGACTGATGTGGTCAACTCCTCAATGTTATCGGATGAATCCCGGAACATATTCCAGTCTGTGCTAGCGAAACCTGTAGCTTAGCAACCGCTTCATCAGACAACTTCCGTAATGAGCGAGTAACTGGTACTTCTTCTTTGAGTTTTTGTTCTGGTACCTCCTGTTTGAGTTGCCCCAATCCCTCCAACTAATTGGGCAACTTTAGTTATTTTTTTGTTGTCTGAGTGAGGGAAATGCTGTAAATTACGGAAACTCTTTGTATTTTGAAAGATGAGACATTGAGGATTGTAATAAATACCGCTTTGATGCCTATGTTTGTTGTATTATGAAGAAAAATTGCCGTGGACCATGCATCCGAACGCTGCTCATGACTCCATTCTATGCGGACCAAAACTACAATCTGCTTCTCTGAATTGACTTGTGAAAACCTAACACTAAGATCATATTTTATAATTTAGCTAGTCATGTTGGCAATAGAACAAGCTTTCAAATTATGCCCACCTGACCTAGATTGCGATTTATAAAGGACCGTTTTTTTGGATTGCATAAACAACAACAGTAATTGTGTAAAGGCGGGGGACGCAGGGCTGTGTTCCAAATAAAATAACTACAAGTGTGCTTGCTCTAGTTCCTCAACGGCACAGCTATGAGAGCAACAAAAAAAAACGTATAGTTGAAGACTCTTCTTTGAGTCATAAAAGTGCATTTCAATTACTTAGGAACTGTGCACACTTATCAACAAATGTGGCGAAAGTACAGTAAATGTAAAATGCACATAAAATCAACAGTGTAATGTTTGGATTCAGTCGTGTCAGGTGAACTGTTGTGTCCTCACCTTTAGTCTAATCATTTTCAGATAATCTCCAAACTATTCTCTTTTAATTGCTACCATGGTTATGCATATTCTTTACATATTTATTGTGTAAGAAACATTTCAATTTAGCCCTATCCATATAGGCCAATTCCCAAGAGTGTAAGGGGTTACAATTATAGTAAGCTCTTTACTTCAATACTCTCTACCATAAACACATAGTGAGTTGTACTTTCCTGTGGCTTGCAGGAAAGGGTCACAAGAGGATAGGCCTATTGACACACAGACGGTAGCCTAGCAATGTGTGTATGAGTCATCTGATTCGTTCGGGGGTTAGAACACTTAGCACCAAAAATCAATGAATGTGGTGAATGCGTCACAAATGGCACCCTATTCCCTATAGTACACAAAAAATAGAATGCATTTCAGACGCACACTCTTTCAGACGCAGTCTTGAGGTAGGCTACAACAGGACATCAGTTCGAGAGATGTGGGACTGGGGTGGACGTCACTATCTGATCATGCTGGCGAGGACAGTGCTTTTCAAATGCAATGATTTTAAGCATTTGGCCTAAACCTTTCCTCTTAAAAGAGATTCTCCGGTACTTTTAAGCCAGTAGTGGTCCCAGAGAATTGCATTCTACATCACATACTGTATGTGCAGATATGTGCACCATGTCATTGCCCTCTCTCTCCTGTGTCCACTGAGCCGTTGGGCCCGCCCTGCAACCTCATCAGATAACGCTGGGCACTGGGCAGGCCTCTTGCTAGCTGTCACTCAAATGTGAAGGGCTGAAACTCATTGGCTAGAACTCGAATTGGCCCACGTTGGGAGCAATGTAGAGAAAATGGTGCGGCACAGCGTCAAGAAGCAATGGACACGACGATCCCTGTATGTAAAGTGCCTAACATCTGCAATGCCTGTGTGTTTGTTACCACCTCACCAAATAAGATTATTAAATGGACAAAACTTCAGTTGTTACCAGTGGCTTGCAAACAAGGAAGCGTCTTCACATTTTCATATCTCTTCATCCTTTCTCAGTATGGTGGAAAAGCAGCAGGGGTGTCCATCATGAGAACGTGGCTACCATTCTAGATACTACTTCTTCGGTATAATGGCGGTCCGCAAACAAACGTTTAAGGTGCATGCACCACCTACTCTGCTGGTGTGTGCAACCAATTATGGTTTGCCTAAATTCTGTCCTTCTAACAAACCACCCTCCTCCCCAAAACCCTCCCAAACCCCTTCCAACCTTATATCTATCATGCTGAGACAATCCATCTTTAGGATTATTCGACAGTAACATCTGTCACCCCTAATAACTCTGTTGCCGTATCCACAATCATCTTCAACCTGGCATTTCTGCTTTCCACAATCTGGGTCCTGTTGAGAACCTTTCCAATTAAAGCACATTTATGGGAGCAAGTTCTGAACATACCTCAACCATGTCAGGACTAGTAGCAGCACCAGTAAATCCACTTACTACAGGAGCAGCCACAGTAGCTCCACCAGTCTGTTTTACAGCCTCTGCATACGAGACATGATTTATTCTATATCTCTGGGCCTCTAGCCTCTCTCTGCACCTGGCATCCACCAAATGCTGCGCGGTGCCCCCCCCCCCCCACAATTACAACACAGCCTTCACATTGTTCCCATAGTAATCATATTCATGTTCCCCTCCACACTTGACACATTTTTATTTTCTTTAAACTGAACAGCTACATGTCCCATTCTTTGTCATTTAAAACACTGCAGTGGGGATGGGACAAATTCTCAGACATTGAAACTAACGAATCCGATCTGTACTTTTGCAAGCAAAACCTTCTCAAACCTCAGTAGTACTGATAACCTTTCATTTATTTGACCCTCTTGCCTACTGATCAACCTTTTGGCCTCAATCACTCTGCCTCCCTTCATATTTTCTTTAATATCATCTATGGACATAGATAGTGGGTCCCCAGAAATGACTCCTTAACTTAGCATAAGCTCCGAGGACAGGCTTTTGATCTTCTTCCCATTGAGTTTCCATTTGAAGAATCTTCCCCTGCTTAGCATGGCAAGCACAGAATTAGCAGTCTACCATTTCCAATGAACCGGGTTAGTTTAACTTCCTATTTTATTTATACATCCACAACCTTCCACTCCGACACTGCTTTCAGTAGCACCATGACCTCTTTTTCCTATTACTTTCCACTACAGACCACTCAGGTCCTTGACCCTCATCCTCCCCACTCCTATCATCAGAACTATCAACCATATTGATGGCATTCCAGCGCAGCTGTTGTTTCTCCAAATCCTCCATCACCACCTGCTGCCAGACTTGCACACGCACGGACACCCATTCGTAGATCCTAAATGCACTCACACTAAATAGTAGCTCAGTAAATAGACTATGCTGACATCTGGTGGTGAAAGGTGTAAAACGCTACAAAGTTGCACATATAAAGCAATGTCGAAGATGCTCGTCTCACCTTGCTCGTAAAGTCTACACAATTTGATTTGCCTGCCTTGATAGCAGTGCATTGGAATGAGTTGTGACATTTGCATTGTATTGATTAGGGATCCCCATTAGCTACGGTTCCTGGGGTCCAAACACATTAAGGCAAATCAAATCAAATCTTTTGTAAAAATATTGTACATCATAACATTATTACGCCACTACATATCTACAACAAAATGTATAATACCACCTTACAACAATATGTAAAGTGCGTGTGCTAGAGTGTCTTCACAGTCCACGTTGTTCCATAAGGTTTAGTTTATTCTTTTTTTTTTTACAGCTTGCACGAGTTGCTTGATGTGGAATAGAGTTCCATGTAGTCATTGCTCTGTGTAGTACTGTGCGTTTCCCAGTGTCTGTTCTGGACTTGGGGACTGTGAAGAGACCCCTGATGGTATGTCTTGTGGGGTATGCATGGGTGCCTGAGATGTGTGCTAGCCATTTGAACAGACAGCTCAGTGCTTTGAACATGACAATGCCGCTCACAAAGACAAGTCGTGATTAAGTCAATCTTTCCCCTACTTTAAACCAGGAAAGATTGACATGTCATGTCATTGATGTTAGCTCTCTGTGTACATTTAAGGGCCAACTGTGCTGCTCTTTTCTGGGCCAACTATAATTTGCCTATGTTCGTCTTTGTGGCACTTGACCATATGACTTGGCAGTAGTCCAGGTGTGACACAACTAGGGACTGTAGGACTGGTTGTGTTGATAGCAATGTCAAAGCAGAACAAATCTCTCCCCATTTTAGCTACCATTGCAGCAATATATTTACAATCCAGGGTTATACCAAGCAGTTTAGACTCAACTTGCTCAAGGTCCACATTATTCATTACAAGATTTAGTTCAGCGTTTAGTAAATGGTTTGTCCCAAATACAATGCATTTACTTTTAGAACTATTTTAGTATTAGCTTATTACTTGCCACCCATTCTAAAACTGACTGCAGCTATTTGTTAAGCGACGCAGTGATTTTACTTGCTGTGGCCCAGTCCAGTAGATGCAGGTCACCTAAACATGTGTAGGCCATGGGTGCGTTAGAGGTAGTCTTTATTGCAGTCTTGCTGGGCATCAGTTACTGAGAAGTGAAATCTTTGTAACATCTGACCCCCCCCCCCCAAAAAAAAAAGTCTGCCAATGTTCATGTACCATCAGATAAAGCTCTTGAATTTCTGGTTCAAGGCAGATTTCTTGGGTTACTGGGAGGGTCAAATCAATAATACCATGCCCATTTTCTATTTGGTGGAACCATTTCAAAATATTTAGAAATGTTCACTGGGTATAGATCCAGCTTTGTGATATACTCCAACCAGGGAAGCATGCAACAGTAACATGCTTTTGTTTAGAGAGCTCATTTGGGTGGTTGAAAAACTTTGTTCACATTACCAGAACGAAACCCACTGCCCCAGCAAACAGTGACCATTTGTATGCAGTGCCATATAGACAGGTCGGTTGTTTAAGCTAAGGTCACGTGTACTTGGGTGGCTGGAGACTAACAATTTTAAAACGAGCCACCTAAAATTCCCCACATGGTACCTTCATTGTTGCTAGCCATCTGGCCATCCAGAATCACAACACATGGCCTTCTGCCCCATTGAAGTGCGCACATCGTTTGTGACGTCAGCTCACCTGTCTGTACTGGGAAAAGAAACTAATTACACCAAAATAACACTTCAGACTTACACATTTGATCCACTCTTACTCAATGATACCCACACACACAGTTAAGGAATCTTTTGCCACTTTATTCAGAATTTGCTAAACAAATGTGGTCCTGATGGAACGATCAAAAATGCAAAAAAAATTAAATAAAAAGCCACAAATGAAACTAGTTCAGACACAGGATGAACTGCTCAGTAAGGGATAGGAATGGTAAAAAAAAATGAATCTCAATTAAAGGGAATGTTTCTGATTCTGGGGGGGGGGGGGGAGCTTGAGGAAGGGAAGGAAGGGAGAGGTTGATGCTTAGAGCTGTGTGGAGAGAGGGAACGCAGGATGAAAGGGGACAGAGGGAGGGACGAGGTGCTCAGAGCTCTCCACAGTCAGCGATGACGACCTTGGCAGAGCATTTGCCGCTGCTGGAACCCTTCTTCTCCATGTTAGCGACAATGCTGAGCCCCTCCACGACCTTGCCGAAAACAACGTGCTTGCCGTTCAGCCTACAGAGGGAGAGAGCGAGATCAGCACCTCAGTAGTTACAGCAGCGTTCTTCCTGAGGTTTAGGGCAACCAGGAACTGTTCAACAAAACATGTTTGTAGTCAAAGGCTGTGACGATCATGGAATTCTGGGTAAGGATTATTTGTCAGTCAAATGAAGGTCATCACTATACCCGTTCAAAATATAAAATGACATTTCTCCTGGCCTTCTCCCTGGCACTAGCAGTAGGCACTGCAGCAGGGCCGGGGCTATTGGGTAAAGTATACTGAACAAAAATCTGAAAATAGGCAACAATTTCAAAGATTCTACTGAGTTAAGGAAAATCTGTCAATTGAAATCCATTCATTTAGGCCCTAGCCTATGGAATTCACATGACTGGGAATACAGATATGCATCTGTTGGTCACAGATAAATAAATACAAATGTAAGGTAGGGGAGTGGATCAGAAAACCAGTCAGTATCTGGTCTGACCACCATTTGCCTCATACAGCGCGACATCTCCTTCGCATAGAGTTGATCAGGCTGTTTATAGTGGCCGGTGGAATGTTGTCCTACTCCTCTTCAATGGCTGTGCGAAGTTGCTGGATATTGGCAGGAACTGGAACGCGCTGGCATACATGTCGATCAAGAGCATCTAAACATGCTCAATGGGTGACATGTCTGGTGAGTATGCAGGCCATGGACAAACTGGGACATTTTCAGCTTCCAGGAATTGTGTACAGATCCTTGCGACATGGGCCCGTGCATTACTATGCTGAAACATGAGGTGATGGCGGCAGATGAATGGCACGACAATGGGCCGCAGGATCTCGTCACGGTATCTCTGTGCATTCAAATTGCCATCGATAAAATGCAATGGTGTTCGTTGTCTGTAGTTTATGCCTGCCCATACCATAAGCCCACCGCCACCATGGGGCACTCGGTTCACAACGTTGGCACCCTGCTAGCCCACACGACACCATACACATGGTCTGCGGTTGTGAGGCCTAAAACGATGCTGGAGGCGGCTTATAGTAGAGAAATTAACATTCAATTATCTGGCAACAGCTCTGGTGGACATTTGGGCAGTCAGCATGCCAATTGCGTGCTCACTCAAAAACATGTGGCATTGTGTTGTGACAAAACTGCACATTTTAGAGTGGCCTTTTGTCCCCAGCACAAGGTGCACCTGTGTAATGATCATGCTGTTTAATCAGCTTCTTGATATGCCACACCTGTCAGGTGGATGGATTATCTTGGCAAAGGAGAAATGCTCACTAACAGGGATGTAATTTTGTGAACAAAATTTGGAGAGACATAAGCTTTTTGTGCATATGGAACATTTCTGGGATCTTTTAATTCAGCTCATGAAACATGGGACCAACACTTTACATGTTGCGTTTATTTTTGTTCTGTGTATATCTACTTAAATAAAGTAATTTACCCGATTACTGTACCAGCCCTACCATTGGTGCGCTGCCCTGTAGGACACTCCTTTACACTAGTGAGGACGTGTCTTAGTTTCCGCAGTTTGTGTGTGTGCGCGCATTTATCAGAGAGAGACACCATTGAAGGGTCTGAGGAGTGTTAGGAAGGGTGGACTGCATCAGTTTTGTTACCAGTAGGTAGTGTCGTCACAACCACAAGGTTTGGAAGATCGTCGTGATTTAAACATCACTTGCAGAGTATGCATGTAAATTATTCACTAAATTTCAAATCAATGAACTCATCTCACCAATCAGTGTCAACTGTATGTGTGTGTGTGTGTGTGTGTGTGTGAGAGATATATATATGCTCCTCACCAGTCGGTGTTAGCAGTGCAGATGAAGAACTGGGATCCGTTGGTGTTGGGGCCGGCGTTGGCCATGGACAGACAGCCCATGCCTGTGTGCTTCAGGGTAAAGTTCTCATCGGGAAACTTGTTGCCATAGATGGACTTGCCCCCGGTTCCATTGTGGTTGGTGAAGTCGCCACCCTGGGGGAAGGCAAAGAATAAGGGACATCATGACCATTTTCTTTGTATAGCTATCCCCTTTCTCTAATCATGCCACTGACAAGGCTCCTGTATTCCACAAGAATCCCAACTTTGAGGCATGTTGGGGGACTGCATCAGTGTTGTTGCCATTAGGCAGTGTCGTCACGACCACGTGGCTCGGAAGACCACCGTGAGAAAAATATCACTGGCAGGGAATGATTGAAAATTATTATTATGGTTGGTAGGGGCCCAGCATTGGGCCTGGTTGCACCAGTCAAATCTAAATCAGATCAGGGCCCATATTCAGAAAGAGTCTCAGAGGATAAGTGCCAATCTAGGTTGAGGCCCCCCCCCCCCCCCATATAATCTTATTCATTATGATCTAAAAGGCAACAAATTATCCTAGAACAGCACTTCTTGTTTGAGACACTTTATTCATATCAGCGCCGGATTGAGGAGCAGAAGCAGCCTTTGGGACTATTGAGTTTAGTCTGGAAACAGCAACCCAGAGTCTGCTGCCACCCACCCAACCAACCCACCGCTCACCTGGCACATGAAACCGGGGATGATGCGATGGAAGCTGGAGCCCTTGTAGCCGAACCCCTTGTCCCCGGTGCACAGGACACGGAAGTTCTCTGGGGGGGGAAAAAACAGGCACCCTGTTATAGTCAGTGATATGTGCAAAGCTGCTTAAAAGGATACTTCGTAATTTTACAAATGAGGCCATTTAGCTACTTCCCTAGAGTCAGATGAAATCGTGGATACAATTGTTATATCTCCGTGTCCACTATGACCAGCATTAGCGCAATGACTGGAAGTCTATTGCTATACAGTGCACTCTGAAAGATTTCAGACCCCTTGACTTTATCCACATTATGTTATGTTACAGCCTTATAAAAACACTTTTAATATCACATTTACATAAGTATTCAGACCCTTTACTCAGTACTTTGTTGAAGCACCTTTGGCAGTGATTACAGCCTCGAGTCTTCTTGGGTATGTCGCTACAAGCTCGGCACACCTGTATTTGGGGAGTGTCTCATTCTTCTCTGCAGATCCTCTCAAGCTCTGTCAGGTTGGATGAGGCGTGTCGCTGCACAGCTATTTTCAGGTCTCTGCAGAGATGTTCACTCGGGTTCAGGTCCGGGCTCTAGCTGGGCCACTCAAGGACATTCAGAGACTTGTCCCGAAGCAAATCCTGCGTTGTCTTGGCTGTGTGCGTATGGTCGTTGTCCTGTTGGAAGGTGAATCTTCACCCCAGTCTGAGGTCCTGAGCGCTCTGGAGCAGGTTTTCATCAAGGATCTCTGTACTTTGCTCTGTTCATTTTTCCCCTCGATCCTGACTAGTCTCCCAGTCCCTGCCACTGAAAAACATCCCCACAGCATGATGCTGCCACCACCATGCTTCACTGTAGGGATGGTGCCATGTTTCCTCCAGACGTGACGCTTGGCATTCAGGCCAAAGAGTTCAATCTTGGTTTCATCAGACCAGTGAATCTTGTTTCTCATGGTCAGTGTCTTTTAGGTGCCTTTTAGCAAACTCCAAGCGGGCTGTAGTGCCTTTTACTGAGGAGTGGCTTCCGTCTGGCCACTCTACCATAAAGGCCTGATTGGTAGAGTGCTGCAGAGATGGTTGTCCTTCTGGAAGGTTCTCCCATCTCCATAGAGGAACTTTGGAGTTCTGTCAGATTCACCATCAGATTCTTGGTCACCTCCCTGACCAAGGCCCTACTCCCCCAATTGCTCAGTTTGGCCGGGTGGCCAGCTCTTGGAAGCGTCTTGGTGGTTCCAATCTTCTTCCATTTAAGAATGATCGAGGCCACTGTGTTCTTGGGGACCTTCAAAAAGGTACCCTTCCCCAGATCTGTGCCTCGACACAATCCTGTCACAGAGCTCTAGGGACAATTCCTTCGACCTCATGGCTTGGTTTTTGCTCTGACATGCACTGTCAACTGTGGGACCTTATATAGACAGGTGTGTGCCTTTCCAAATCATGTCCAATCAATTGAAATTACCAAAGGTGGACTCCAATCAAAATTATAGAAACATCAAGGATGAGCAATAGAAACAAGATGCACCTGAACTCAATTGAGTCTTATAGCAAAGGGTCTGAGTACTTCTGTAAATAAGTTCTGTTTTTTATAAATGTGCACAAATTTCTAAAAACCTGTTTTGCTTTGTCATTATGGGGTATTGGGTGTAGATTGGAGATGTATTTAATCTATTTTAGAATAACGCTGTAACGTAACAAAATGTGGAAAAAGCGAAGGGTTCTGAATACTTTCCGAATGCACTGTATGCTAGCATGCAGATACACCCAACTTCTTTCATACTGGACACAGACATAAAACTGGTATCCACGAGTTCACCCGACTCTGGGGAAGTAGTTTAAGGGTCTCATTGCCAAAATCCCCACTTATCCATTTAAAGGCATAAAGGTTGCATGAAGTCAAAATAGTGGTTTTCTGCTCCTGATCACTGAAATCTATCAAGACTGACAAGGTTGGCCAGGGCCGCTCAATGCTACTTAATTACTAACAGGAAGCAGCCTTGCTCTTTTGCATTTATATGCATCAGCTGTTGCATTGTATATGATATCTGATCATTCAGCAATGCATTTTGTCATGTAGCGTAGATGGAACTAAACGTATGCTGCTGGCCTTCGGGGACCAGAGCTCACTGATGACACAAAAGGCGCCATTGAAGGGGGTGAGGAGCGTGGGGAAGGTTGGACAGCGTCAATTTTGTTGCCATTAGAAGGCAACGTCACAACCACAAGGCTTGGAAGACCATTGTGAGATAAACATCACTTGCAGAGTGTATGTGTTTATTATTCAGGAAATGTCAATCATTGAAGCAGTCTTACCTGCAGTCTTGGGGACCACATCAGCGAAAAGCTGCAAGAAGAGAAGAGGGCTTTTCATTAGTATAAATAAAATGTTATTTGTCACACACGTGTTTAGCAGATGTTATAGCGGGTGTAGCGAAACGCTTGTGCTTCTAGCTCCGACAGTGCAGTAATATTTAACAATTTCACAACATATACCCAATAAATGAAGGGGAAACAGCATGGAGATCAATGGAGGTAGAGCTCAAGTTGTCACTAAGGAATAACGTGATCATTATAACCCAGGGTAATAAAAGACTACAGCTAAAGCATTGACCACAGGACCCAAAGCAGACGGGGGCTAGAGTCTAAACAACTTCGATTCTAGGTGTTGCTTCTAGACTTATTCTGAGCTAGAACAACTCCCATGTGAGAATCACAAGACAGTAGGCATGTTTCCAATGACCAAGGTTTATTCGACAAAAGCAATGTCATAAAAAATAAATAAATAGCGACACGTGTAATGGAAACTGCATATATAGACGTTTTCTAAATATCAACAATTTGTATCTGTTCAACTGGGATGGATTTGTCTTTTGTCTAACTTTATTGCAACAAATGAAACCGTGTTCTTCGACTAAATGATGATTGCCAAATACTTTTGAAGGTACGCAGGGCACGTGATGTCATCATGTAACTATAAGCTCTACGCCACATTTAATTCTAAATGCTGGCAAAATAAATATTTAAAAAATAATGTTTCTTTGCAGGACAAGGATTGTCCTGACTTTCAAGAATGACCGAATTGCGTCATCTTACTTTTCTGGTAGGCTGGCAAGTTACAGCAACCAATTATTTCAGATCTACAGGCGTGCAAGTTTCAACATAGCACAGACCTTGGCAATATGTTGGCACATGAGAATTATTAGAATATGCCAAATATTAGTCAATTATTGCAGTCTATCGATGCTGGCTTTCGCAGGCTACCCGAGGTATGAAACATAGGTGGGAGGGCATACAGGCTGCCACCAATTTATTAGGCACAATTTGCCTAAATGGGTAAAGGAAACACTTCAACCACTACATTTTTATTCGACACTAGGTTTTTGCTAAAGTTTTTTTGTTGGGGTGATGTCATTACGTCTCCAGCTGTTTTTAAATCGACACAAGATAGTTCAAATGGAAACATAACCTAGCAGGCAATTGTCGCATCTACACTATTTTATGTGATCTATCTATTCACTGGACAAGTTAATGTTAACAGCTACTGATTGTGTGGGACAAAGGTGCATCTCTACAGACACCATTTCCAACCTATCGCATGACAGTCAGTCTGGGGCAATCGACTAGCAACAACTGGCCACTACAGCTACAGGCAATGATGTCACTGAATTCCACAGCATGACACATGTCAAGTGTAGTGTGCACCATCTCACTCACCTCATACAATCCACCTGCTCACATTACATTACCAGCTAACTACTGGTATAAAATGAAATCACTCTTTGCCTTAAGGTACTGATCTAGGATCAGTTTACCCAAAATCCTTTAAAATACATTAGGAGGGATGGGATTATGTTAGATCAGTGTCTAGAGCAAATTAGGCTATATTATATTCCTGCCAAGCACCAACCACCTGTGAAAAGTGAACGTTGACATATAGGCCCTTACACAACATGCCTTTCCCTCCACCAGGCAGCTACTGTGATGGGAGGGCCTCAGCATGAAATGCCAGATTCCAGCTGACACAGCCCCTCTTCTCACTTCCCTCCCTCCTCCAGCCCCAGACACACCCCCAGCTGTAGCCCAGTACTTTTCCACTCCTTAGATGAGGAACAAGTTCAAGGAAAAAGGAATTCACTACTGCGGTCATATAAATAAATACACCATTAAATAATTACTTAAATGTGTCATTAATTAATTAAAATTAGAATTAAATACATAAATGTGTTATTAAATGTGTCATTAATTAATTCAAATACCGATTCATTTTATGTAAAATACATATATAATAATTTCACTATTTACATTTACATTTCATGGTCCTGCGTTGGAGTGCTTCCTGAATTACTTAAAACTGTCAAACTGACCCATCAAAAGTTGGTAGGCGGAACCTAACGCCTGATTGGTTACCCTCTGCATCAAGCCAAGACAAATCAATTCCGGATAATGTCAGCAGGTCCTGCTTCTACATCCTCGGCTAAGTTTAAAATGTCTCTAACCAACTCCCTGGAAAGTTCACGGAGATCCTCCATTGTCTCTATCCAGGTTGGCCTACTCTACTTCAGACCAAAGCAATGGATCAGACTAGATTCGCGTTAGCCCCGCCCACTGACTTTGATGGGTCAGTTTGACAGTTTTAAGTAATTCATGAATCACTGCAATGCAGGATCATGAAATGTAAATGTAAATAGTGAAATAATTATATATGTATTTTACATAAAATGAATCGGTATTTGAATTAATTAATGATACATTTAATTACACATTTATGTATTTAATTCTAATTTTAATTAATTAATGACACATTTAAGTAATTATTTAATGGTGTATTTATTTATTTATTTAATTGTGGCACTTTTAGTCCTCCATAGTCATTGGGCCAATGTTGTAGGATAAAGTTGCCCCATCCCCATAGAGGCTGGTCTAAGATCAGTTTTGAGTGTCCCGTGCCCTAGTGTGGGTAAAGGTAAAGATTTAGGGAGGATATACTTTTTCTAGATCTGTGATTTTGACCAACTTCTGTACCTACACTACAATGTTTAGCTTAGCAAGAAGCACCAGAGCTACTGGCATCATGGCCGTAAACAATTGGTGTCAGCTGCACGGCCACGTGCTCCCTCCCACGGGATGACAAAATGTTTGGAGAAATTGTCCAAAACGAATCAAAAGGCAATGCTACAAGAATCACCAAGTACTACACTCCATTTTGCCATTTGGAAGATATTGTGTAACGTTTGATGTTTAAAAAAAAATAGGGAATTTTCTCCTGCATTTCGCGCCAGGCTTGCGGGTGGATGGCTGGCCTTAAATGCGTTCTGGTGTGCGCCACTGCACCTACAACTAGTCAACCAAATCTGAGATGTAAGTTAATGCCATTCTAAATAATGCAGATATTGTGAAGGGAGTGAATGGGCATACAGGCTATCTAGGGCCACGTGCTGTTTGAATGGAAAACAAGTATGCAGCAGTAAACAGCAGCAAGGTTTTACCGCATAGAGAGAAAGGTCCGGCAGCTGAAAATGTATGGCCTTTATAGCATATTTCATAACAATAAACAGTTAGCATAACGTTACACCGCAGTACAGCGGATTGCAGAGGGACCATAGTCCACTTATTTTTGTTTTGCCATTTAGCAGACGCTTTTATCCAAAGCGATTTAGTCATCTGTGCATACATTTTTACGTATGGGTGGTCCCGGGGATCGAACCCACTACCCTGGCGTTACAAGCGCCATCCTCTACCAATTGAACTACGGAGGACCACATTCTCCTTGGTGCCTTATAATAATAATGGGGCTGGGATAAATTACCAGATTAATCAATTCATTACAATTTGTCGATTGCACCAAATCAAAGTATTGGCTGCGGTGTGCTTTTAGGTACATTGCGTTCCCTTAACCACACATCCCTCCTTTTTCAAAATGGCATCTGGCGCTATGAAAAGAAAATATGCTGAAAATGGCGACTGGCTAAAAATGGCATGTCCGGAAAACTTGAGTGAAACAGCAGAAACCAACGTTAGCTATGTTAATCTAAACAACGCAATTAACTATTTTACGCGCACATATTTTCAGTTCCATGATTGCAGGAGCATGGGATTATTATTGCGAAAGTAAGACCATTATTTTACATCAGGATGGTAAAACCTCTGCTCCAGAAACAACGCTGATTTAGATACCGACAAGAAAACAACGCAAAACATGGCTTTTAATATTGCGTTAATGCCCAATGAAAATGCAAGAACAGCAAATACAAACCCCACTCAATCATTGACTAGACATTGTTTAAAATGTATGCAGATCAAGTGAGGTTCGAGCAAAGTTGGGGAGCTTTCAATGAAACTAAGTACAGTAACGTTAGTTAGCTAACGTTAGCCAGTTAGTAAACATGTCAAAGCTGAAAGCACGTGGACCCGAGTCTGACACCATCCCGGTTGCATGCAACTATCTGGCAGCGAGCTAAAGCAGACCCTAACGAGAATTAAGCAATTATTTTAAAGATGTAAAGTTAAGTTATATTTATTCCGAAACATCTCGATTTGCTCTGCTCCTTACCTCAATTTCAATCCTGCCGGCGGGGGCATCGCCGATAGTGATGTCGAAGTAAACTCTGGGGTTTGGCATGATTGGGATTAAACCGTTTTTTATTTCGTGAAAATACACGAGTACAGGCCAAGTTTACTGGACGGTGCCGCAGCTGACTCGGAACGGAAACACTGCTGTGTACACAAAATATATATGCGCACCCCAGGGAAGCCTCCGGAGCCAATGCGAACCAGTAAGAAGACTGGGACCACTGAGTGACATGAGCTTGAACCAATTAGATGTCTCGGGGGCGAATAAATTAGAACAATGGTCCCTTCCCCTGCACGCCCGTTTGATCAGCGAGGTTTGGGGGACGGACTCGTGATTGGCCCATTGTGGTGCATACAAATGATGATAATACATACTGCCCAATGCGCTGCCAGGGAAAGTCTAGGCGTGTACTGTCCGCTAGCTGTATTGTACAGGGCGTTTCCCGCCGAATAAAATCGCCATTATGCCTGAAATATAAAAGTGAGTTACCAATGGCATTGTATGGAGCAACAGATCCAAAATGGCCTGTGTTTGTCGTTAACCACTTGACAAAGCGCTCGCGGAATGTATGCGGCATTAGCACGAATGATTGTATGCCTAACAAAAGACACCGAGTGAGGGGGGAGGGGGCACGACTGAAACGATGCGGTTGTATCGGGTTTCTGACTCGAGCCAAGGTCGTGGCTGGTAATGTCTAGATGGGATCCTGCTTGTCAAATTTACGTCAAAGCTCTATTATTTATTTATTTATTTTTCATTTTAGCTAACCCTAACCTGCCGCGTAAATTCTCCTAAACCTGCTAGGAAAAGTCAATTCTGACAAAAGCTGGATCCCTTCTTTTAACTTTTGTGAAACGGATGTCACTGGCAATTCATGTGTAGTTATTTGTATATATTTTTTTGCTTAATTTATTTTATGCTTCTTGAGAAAATATATTTGTAGTGGTGTCCTGTTTTTGTTATTGTATTGTAATAAAAAAAGGGATGTTGCTCATGTCAAAGTGCATTTTAGCAAACCCTAAACCTTTTCCTAACCGTAACCTAATTTTCCTAACCTGCTGCATAAATTCTCATAACCTGCTACGGAAAGTCACTGCTGCATCCCATCTAGACAAAACCTGGTTTCTGCTCTCGGGTTCTGCTGCACATGGGATAAATCAGGATGTACACAGAGAGCTAACATTAATAATATACATGTCAATCTCTCCTGGCTCAAATTGGAGGAGAGATTGACTTCATCACTACTTGTATTTCTGAGAGGTATTGACATGTTGAATGCACTGAGCTGTCTGTTTTGAACTACTGGCACACAGCAAGGGACACCCATGCATACCCCACAAGACATGCCACCAGATGTCTCTTCACACTCCCCAAGTCAAGAACAGACTATGGGAGGTGCACAGTACTACATAGACCCATGACTACATGGAACTCTATTCCACATCAAGGAACTCATGCCAGCAGTAAAATTAGATTAAAAAAAACAGATAAAAATACACCTTATGGAACAGTGGGGACTGTGAAGCAACACAAACATAGACACATGCATACAAACACACAATAACATATGCACTATACACACATGTACACATAGATTTTGTGTTATAGATACAGTTGAATTCTGAAGTTTACATACACTTAGGTTGGAGTCATTCAAACTCGTTTTTCAACCACTCCACAAATTTCTTGTTAACAAACTATAGTTTTGGCAAGTCGGTTAGGACATCTACGTTGTGCATGACACAAGTAATTTTTCCAACAATTGTTTACAGACAGATTATCTCAAATCAAAATTTTATTGGCCACATGTGCCGAATACAACAGGTGCAGACATTACAGTGAAATGCTTACTTACAGCCCTTAACCAACAGTGCATTTATTTTTAATAAAAAAGTAAAATAAAACAACAAAAAAGTGTTGAGAAAAAAAGAGCAGAAGTAAAATAAAATAACAGTAGGGAGGCTATATATACAGGGGGGTACCGGTGCAGAGTCAATGTGCGGGGGCACCGGCTAGTTGAGGTAGTTTAAGTAATATGTACATGTGGGTAGAGTTAAAGTGACTATGCATAAATAATTAACAGAGTAGCAGCAGCGTAAAAATATGGGGTGGGGGGGGCAGTGCAAATAGTCCGGGTAGCCATGATTAGCTGTTCAGGAGTCTTATGGCTAGGGGGTAGAAGCTGTTGAGAAGTCTTTTGGACCTAGACTTGGCACTCCTGTACCGCTTGCCGTGCGGTAGCAGAGAGAACAGTCTATGACTAGGGTGGCTGGAGTCTTTGACAATTTTGAGGGCCTTCCTCTGACACCGCCTGGTATAGAGGTCCTGGATGGCAGGAAGCTTGGCCCCAGTGATGTACTGGGCCGTACGCACTACCCTCTGTAGTGCCTTGCGGTTGGAGGCCAAGCAGTTGCCATACCAGGCGGGGATGCAACCAGTCAGGATGCTCTCGATGGTGCAGCTGTATAATTTTTTGAGGATCTGAGGACCCATGCCGAATCTTTTCAGTCTCCTGAGGGGGAATAGGCTTTGTCGTGCCCTCTTCACAACTGTCTTGGTGTGTTTGGACCATGATAGTTCGTTGGTGATGTGGACACCAAGGAACTTGAAGCTCTCAACCTGTTCCACTACAGCCCCGTCGATGAGAAAGGGGGCGTGCTCAGTCCTCTTTTTTTCCTGTAGTCCACAATCATCTCCTTTGTCTTGGTCACGTTGAGGGAGAGGTTGTTATCCTGGCACCACACGGCCAGGTCTCTGACCTCCTCCCTATAGGCTCTCTCATCGTTGTCGGTGATCAGGCCTACCACTGTTGTGTCGTCGGCAAACTTAATGATGGTGTTGGAGTCGTGCCTGGCCATGCAGTCATGGGTGAACAGGGAGTACAGGAGGGGACTGAGCACGCACCCCTGAGGGGCCCCCGTGTTGAGGATCAGTGTGGCAGATGTGTTGTTACCTACCCTTACCACCTGGGGGCGGCCCGTCAGGAAGTCCAGGATCCAGTTGCAGAGGGAGTTGTTTAGTCCCAGGATCCTTAGCTTAGTGATGAGCTTAGAGGGCACTATGGTGTTGAATGCTGAGCTGTAGTCAATGAATAGCATTCTCACGTAGGTGTTCCTCTTGTCCAGGTGGGAAAGGGCAGTGTGGAGTGCAATAGAAATTGCATCATCTGTGGATCTGTTGGAGCGGTATGCAAATCGTAGTGGGTCTAGGGTTTCTGGGATAATGGTGTTGATGTGAGCCATGACCAGCCTTTCAAAGCACTTCATGGCTACAGACGTCAGTGCTACGGGTCGGTAGTCATTTAGGCAGGTTATCTTAGTGTCCTTGGGCACGGGGACTATGGTGGTCTGCTTGAAACATGTTGGTATTACAGACTCAGTCAGGGACATGTTGAAAATGTCAGTGAAGACACTTGCCAGTTGGTCAGCACATGCTCGGAGTACACGTCCTGGTAATCCGTCTGGCCCTGCGGCCTTGTGAATGTTGACCTGCTTAAAAGTCTTACTCACATCGGCTACGGAGAGCGTGATCACATAGTCATCCGGAACAGCTGGTGCTCTCATGCATGCTTCAGTGTTGCTTGCCTCGAAGCGAGCATAGAAGTGGTTTAGCTCGTCTGGTAGGCTTGTGTCACTGGGAAGCTTGCGGCTGTGCTTCCCTTTGTAGTCTGTAATAGTTTTCAAGCCCTGCCACATCCGACGAGCGTCAGAGCCGGTGTAGTACGATTCAATCTTAGTCCTGTATTGACTCTTTGCCTGTTTGATGGTTCGTCGGAGGGCATAGCGGGATTTCTTATAAGCGTCCGGGTTAGAGTCCCGCTCCTTGAAAGCAGCAGCTCTACCCTTTAGCTCAGTGTGGATGTTTCCTGTAATCCATGGCTTCTGGTTGGGGTATGTACGTACGGTCACTGTGGAGACGACATCATCGAGGCACTTATTGATGAAGCCAGTGACTGATGTGGTGTACTCCTCAATGCTATCTGAAGAATCCCGGAACATGTTCCAGTCTGTGCTAGCAAAACAGTCCTGTAGCTTAGCATCTGCGTCATCTGACTACTTTTTTATTAACCGAGTCACTGGTGCTTCCTGCTTTAGTTTTTACTTATAAGCAGGAATCAGGAGGATAGAGTTATGGTCAAATTTGCCAAATGGAGGGAGAGCTTTGTATGCGTCTCTGTGTGTGGAGTAAAGGTGGTCTAGAGTTTTTTTTCCTCTGGTTGCACATTTAACATGCTGGTAGAAATTAGGTAGAACGGATTTAAGTTTCCCTGCATTAAAGTCCCCGGCCACAAGGAGCGCTGCCTCTGGATGAGCATTTTCCTGTTGACTTATGGCCTTATACAGCTCATTCAGTGCAATCTTAATGCCAGCATTGGTTTGTGGTGGTAAATAGACAGCTATGAAAAATATAGATGAAAACTCTCTTGGTAAATAGTGTGGTCTACAGCTTATCATAAGATACTCTACCTCAGGCGAGCAAAACCTCGAGACTTCCTTAGTATTTGATTTTGTGCACCAGCTGTTTACAAAAATACACAGACCGCCACCCCTTGTCTTATCGGAGTCAGCCATTCTATCCTGCCGATGTAGCGTATAGCCTGCTAGCTGTATGTTATCCATGTCGTCGTTCAGCCACGACTCGGTGAAACATAAGATATTACAGTTTTAAATGTCCCGTTGGTAGGATAACCGTAATCTTAGGTCATCCAATTTATTTTCCAATGATTGAAGATTGGCTAATAGGGTTGATGGGAGCGGCAGTTTACTCGCTCGCCGTCGGATCCTTACAAGGCACCCCGACCTACGTCCACGATATCTCCGTCTCTTTCTCATGCGAATGACAGGGATTTGGGCCTTGTCAGGTGTCTGTAGGATATCTTTCGCGGCCACCTCGTTGAAGAAAAATTATTTGTCCAATACGAGGTGAGTAATCGCTGTCCTGATATCCAGAAGCTCTTTTTGGTTATAAGAGACGATGGCAGAAACATTATGTACAAAATAAATTACAAATAACGCGGAAAAGCACACATAATAGTACAATTGGTTAGA